CTGACTCTGTATTACTGAGACAATCACAGAACCTGAGGTGACTACTACACACACAATTATCAGAAGGAGAATAATTAAGAAAATTATTATAGTTGATGGTAAACCAGTAGAGACTGAGGAAGTAGTAGAAGAACCAGAAGAGGTTACTGAGGACATTCTACAAGGCTTGCCAGCTGATTCTGTAATTACTAAGACAATCACAGAACCTGAGGTGACAACTATTCACAAAATTATTAGAAGGAGAATTATTAAGAAGATTGTTATTGTTGATGGTAAGCCAGTAGAAACTGAGGAAATAGTAGAAGAACCCGAAGAGGCTACTGACGAAATGCTGCAAGGCCTGCCAGCTGACTCTGTAATTACTGAGGTAATTTCAGAACCTAAAGTAACCACTCTGATGTGAAACCAGTAGAGACTGAGGAAGTAGTTACAGAACCCAAACAGGTTACTGAGGAAGTTCCAGAAGGCTTGCCAGCTGAATCAGAAATTACTGAGATAATCACAGAACCTGAGGTGACAACTATTCACAAAATTGTTAGAAGGAGAATTATTAAGAAGATTGTTATTGTTGATGGTAAGCCAGTAGAGACTGAGGAAGTAGTAGAAGAGCCAGAAGAGGTTACTGAGGAAATGCTACAAGGCTTGCCAACTGACTCTGTAATTACTGAGACAATCACAGAACCTGAGGTGACTACTACACACACAATTATCAGAAGGAGAATAATTAAGAAAATTATTATAGTTGATGGTAAACCAGTAGAGACTGAGGAAGTAGTAGAAGAACCAGAAGAGGTTACTGAGGACATTCTACAAGGCTTGCCAGCTGATTCTGTAATTACTGAGACAATCACAGAACCTGAGGTGACAACTATTCACAAAATTATTAGAAGGAGAATTATTAAGAAGATTGTTATTGTTGATGGTAAGCCAGTAGAGACTGAGGAAATAGTAGAAGAACCCGAAGAGGTTACTGAGGAAATGCTGCAAGGCCTGCCAGCTGACTCTGTAATTACTGAGGTAATTTCAGAACCTAAAGTAACCACTCTGGATGTTAAACCAGTAGAGACTGAGGAAGTAGTCACAGAACCCAAACAGGTTACTGAGGAAGTTCCAGAAGGCTTGTTGGCTGAATCAGAAATTACTGAGATAATCACAGAACCTGAGGCAACAACTATTCACAAAATTATTAGGAGGAGAATTATTAAGAAGATTGTTATTGTTGATGGTAAGCCAGTAGAGACTGAGGAAATAGTAGAAGAACCCGAAGAGGTTACTGAGGAAATGCTGCAAGGCCTGCCAGCTGACTCTGTAATTACTGAGGTAATTTCAGAACCTAAAGTAACCACTCTGGATGTGAAACCAGTAGAGACTGAGGAAGTAGTCACAGAACCCAAACAGGTTACTGAGGAAGTTCCAGAAGGCTTGTCGGCTGAATCAGAAATTACTGAGATAATCACAGAACCTGAGGCGACAACTATTCACAAAATTATTAGAAGGAGAATTATTAAGAAGATTGTTATTGTTGATGGTAAGCCAGTAGAGACTGAGGAAATAGTAGAAGAACCCGAAGAGGTTACTGAGGAAATGCTGCAAGGCCTGCCAGCTGACTCTGTAATTACTGAGGTAATTTCAGAACCTAAGGTGACCACTCCTGATGCAAAACCAGTAGAGACTGAAGTAGTCGAAGAATCCAAAGAGGTTACTGAAGAAATTTCAGAAGGCTTGCCAGCTGAATCAGAAATTACTGAGACAATCACAGAACCTGAGGTGACAAATGTTCATAAAATTATTAGAAGGAGAATTAAGAAGATTGTTATTGTTGATGGTAAGCCAGTAGAGACTGAGGAAGTAGTAGAAGAACCGGAAGTGGTTTCTGAGGAAATGCTGCAAGGCATGCCAGCTGACTCTGTAATTACTGAGGTAATTTCAGAGCCTAAAGTAACCACTCATGATGGTAAAGCAGTAGAGACTAAGGAAGTAGTAGAAGAACCCAAAGAGGTTACTGAGGAAATTGTAGAAGCCTTGCCAGCTGACTCTGTAATTACTGAGATAATCTCAGAACCTGAAGTAATTGCTTCTGATGGTAAATCAGTAGAGTATGAGGAAGTAGTAGAAAAACCAGAAGAGATAACTGAGGAAGTGCTGCAAGGCTTGCCAGCTGACTCAGTAATTATTGAGACAGTCACAGAACCTGAGGTAATTACTATTCACACAGTTATTAGAAAGAGAATTATTAAGAAGATTATTATGGTTGATGGTAAACCAGTGGAGACTGAGGAAGTAGTAGAAGAACCAGAAGAGGTTACAGACGACATTCTACAATGCTTGTCAGCTGATTCTGTAATTACTGAGGTAATTTCAGAGCCCAAAGTAACCACTCCTGATGGTAAACCAGTAGAGACTAAGGAAGTATTATTAGAACCCAAAGAGGTTACTGAGGAAATTGTAGAAGCCTTTCCAGCTGACTCTGTAATTACTGAAATAATCTCAGAACCTGAAGTAATTGCTTCTGATGGTAAATTAGTAGAGTCTGAGGAAGTAGTAGAAAAACCAGAAGAGATAACTGAGGAAGTGCTGCAAGGCTTGCCAGCTGACTCAATAATTATTGAAACAGTCACAGAACCTGAGGTGACAACTGTTCACAATATTATTAGAAGGAGAATTATTAAGAAGATTGTTATTGTTGATGGTAAGCCAGTAGAGACTGAGGAAGTAGTAGAAGAACCAGAAGAGGTTACTGAGGACATTCTTCAAGGCTTGCCAACTGACTCTGTAATTACTGAGACAATCACAGACCCTGAGGTGACAACTGAGGTGACACACACAGTTATCAGAAGGAGAATAATTAAGAAAATGATTATAGTTGATGGTAAACCAGTAGAGACTGAGGAAGTAGTAGAAGAACCAGAAGAGGTTACCGAGGAAATGCTACAAGGCTTACCACCTGACTCTGTAATTACTGAGACAATCACAGAACCTGAGGTGACTACTACATACACAGTTATCAGAAGGAGAATAATTAAGAAAATTATTATAGTTGATGGTAAACCAGTAGAGACTGAGGAAATAGTAGAAGAACCAGAAGAGATTACTGAGGACATTGTACAAGGCTTGCCAACTGATTCTGTAATTACTGAGACAATCAATGAGCCTGAGGTAACACTATTTACAGAATTATCAGGAGACGAGTAATTAAGAAGATTATAATGGTTGATGGTAAACCAGTAGAGACTGAGGAAGTTGTAGAAGAACCAGAAGAGGTTACTGAGGACATTCTACAAGGCCTGCCAGCTGATTCTGCAATTACTGAAACAATTACAGAACCTGAGGTAACTGCTGGTCACAAAATTACTAGGAGAATAATAAAGAAGGTAAGTATGGTTGATGGTAAACCAGTAGAGACTGAGGAAGTAGTAGAAGACCCAGAAGAAGTTATTGAGGATGTAGCCTCAGATTATCCAGAAGTCCTTATCAATGCCACTGTTTCTCAGCCTGAAGCAACAGTTTCTCCTTTGGATTCTGAGCCTTGCATCATTAAAGAATTTGTTAAGAAGCCAGTCGAAAATGTTGAAGGGTTTGAAGTTGAGTATGACCACAACAGCACTAAACCTGAGGAATCCACAACTGTCATTCATAAAATCACTAGGAGGAGAATTGCCAAGAAAAGTGTAATTATTGATGGTAAACTTGTAGAGATTGAGGAACCTGTGGATGTTAATGAACTGTCAGAAAGTAGACCCCTTCTTGAAGCTAGGAAAGGTGATATTCCTTCTTACCCTGAGTTACACCCTGATAACAAAGAATTAATTATTGATCATTTCCCACAGCCAGCTAAGGATTCCTTAACAGAACCCAAAGATGCAGATAATATAGATCTATGGCAAGAGCAGCTTTACCCACAAGAAACTCCACAGCCACAGCAGCAGGCTTATCTTCCTGAAAAGCAGGAGGATGCTCCTGCACTACCCAGTCAGCCCATGGAACCCTCTACAGATGAGTTGCTAGTGTTCCCTGAACCCGAGGAAAGGTTCCCTATCCCACTTTTAGAACAGGAACAGCCTCTTGAAACCTCTGAAGCTCCAGTTTATCTTTGAGGATGTAGTTTATGAAATGCCAACAGTGCCTTCACTTCTAGAGAAGATTGTGGTTCAGTCTCAGTCACCAGTTCTAGCACCTGTTTATGAGGAAAAAGAGCTAACTACAAAACCTCAGTTTCCTATTCCTAAACCTGAATATATGACTGAAGAGTTGTATCAGGAAGTACCAGTGGCTTCCAAGCCTAACTCTGAGGCAAAAGATACTGTAGAACCCCAGCCAGTAACCACACTTCCTTACTCTGAGACTGACTTTAAGTTAGAAGACATGAAGGCTCAGTTTCTTCTCTCAGATCCAGATTCCCATCAGTCTCTTCCATCTCCAGCACATTTTGTTGATGTTGAACCTAAAGTTTCTGTTGTACTTCATCAACATAAGATTGAAGATGCTGAAGAAAATATTGCAACTTTTAAACAGCAGGCAGATGATAAAGCCCTGCATGAGGTTAAACCACCAGAATATGAACAGTCCGTACATATATTTAAAACACCAAATGATGATGATGTAAAAGAGGCTGATGATATTGTTAAGGTCACAGAATATACAGCAGAGAAGATATTAGAAACTACACACCCAAGTAAAACTGAGGGAAGGTATACAGGCTCAGTCGTCAGATTTAAAACATAAACCAGAAGAGGACTCTGAATCGCCTTCTGAGTTAGCAACATGTGAATTTAAGGTATCTGATGAGAAGATTGAAGAAGTCAAAGAAACTTTCTCTCCAGTGCCAGATTCTGAACACAAAGTACTGTGGGTGCTAGAAGATCAGGATATTGAAATAAGACCATCAGAAGAGTTTGAAGGCACTATATGGAAAAAAGATCAACCCCTTGTAAGAAAAACTTCCTCAGATGAGGATACAGATTTTCCATTAAGTGATGAACCAAGTCTTGTAGAAACAAAAGATATGAATAAACTTTACAGTAAAGAAGAGGATAAAAGCGTGCCACGATCAGAATCAGGGGTTTCGATTGTAATAACACCAGCTGATGATATAGATGAAGGTGATGAAGACGACATTGGCAAAATATCCCATGATGATACAAGCTCTGTTGAAGATGAAATGTACACTCCTGAGGAAAGCACTCATGAAGACTTGAAAGCTGATGAAACTGTATTCGTTTTTCAAGATATGGAACAAGAGGAAACACCAATAACACAAACTATACAAGTCATTGAGAGCAAAGAGTTATCACAAGAGACAGTAAATGTTAAGCCAGAGTTGGAAAAAATGTTTAAAGAAACAGATGATCGTTCTGTAGATGATTCCAATAGGGAAAAGACACCTCTTAGCTTATATACTACCCATTTGGATGATCAATTTGTCACCAGTATTGAAGTTGCATCTTTACCCACAGTGGAGGGAATACATCCAAGTGATGTGCCTCAGGTTATTTCTGATAAAATGATTGATGAACACACAGCAGGACCACCTGAAATACAGCCTTGGGATGCAGTCTCCACACCACATGAGCATGAAGAAGTGAAAAAACAAATGTCCCTCCCATCTGGTGACTCTGACATTAACAAAGATTTACATGTGACATTCCCTGAAAAGGAAAGTTATATGGAAGAGCAACCTTTGGGTGAAGAATTAATCATTTCTCAAGAGTGGCAAACTCTAATTGCTCTCTTAAAACGCCGTCAGAATTTAAGAGAACAGCCATCTTCTGTGACCCCAACAGCTACACTGATGTTATTGCCATCAACTCAGTCTTCAGGTGAAGAAAAAGGAGAACAAGTTGATGCAAATATAGGCATGTTAAAATTAGCGATAGAAAAGAAAGAAGTTGTTGTGGTACAGAAAGTAATTATTTCAATAGTTGAAACAATAAGTACATGGCTGGAAACTATAGAGTACAGAATCTATACCATAAGAAAAAATGAAGATCCTAATGAAAGGATAAGACAGTATGAAAACTTACGCACTGAACTTTTTATTGTTGAAGAGAAACTAACAGTCCTTGAGAATGTGACCCAATCTGCTGTTACAGTTCTTAGTGAAGAAACTATTATAACTATCATAGAAACAGTTAAATACTTGCGTCAACAGGTTAACCACATTGAAAAAGTGCGGCAAAATGAGCAAGATGATCTTGCCCAGATGGAGGAACGTTATGCACAGTATCTTACAGCGGTAAGCGATGCTGAGCAAGAAGTATCCAGACTTAAGAATCAACTCGGTGAAATTCAGGAGACACAAATGTCACCAGAAGAGAAGCTTACTAAGTTAGAATTTCTACTTACTACCAATGAAGAAACAAGGGATTGTATCACACAGTTGCTGCTCAGTTCACATGATCTCAGAGACATTCCAAGTCAAAAAGTTGGGGATGAGTTAGCTACTATTCAGGCCGAACTCTGTGATGTTCATGATGCTGTTGAAAAGGAATTAGATCATCATCTGCGGCTCACAACATCTACCACCGAATATGAAGAAACGCTTATGGAACTTACATATCTAATTGAAATGGCAGAAACAATCTTAGAAGCAAGAATTGTTGCTCGTGATCATGGACACTTAATTGATACAATTACCAAGCACAAGAAGTTATTCCTCTCCCTGCGTCAGTGCCAAAAAGTATTAGAATCGCTTGACACTGCTCTGGAGCCCAGCTCTCGTGTTCACTACCAGCAATTGTACTCTCGCTCTTACTTGAGGGCTTCAAGATTGTTGGACAAGGCCACACAGCGCAACCATCAGCTGTCTCTCCTGGAAGCTGAGTGGGTGCGGCTTCTAAACCAACTGGAGGAAGAAGAAGCTTGGACAGTGTCAGCATCAGAGCAGGTTACACAACTTCAAACTGTATCTGCTGATACATATGAAGACAACACAAATGCATGCAAGGTTAGCACCTCATTATTTTATAAATATTCATTTGAAATGCAGTTTGATATATTAATAGCTTATTCAACTAACTACAAAGTAAATTAATTAATAAATTGTAATTTTGCACTGTATTATAGTAATTTACAGTACCATGTATGAAAACTTAACTGAACTGCCTCAGAGATATCCGAATAATTAATTTCCACGTATACATTTTTTAATGAGAATTTAAATTTGTTCAATTAAAGATATAAATTCAGTATTTCTAATTTACTTGTTTCAGGAATGCCAGGCTTGTAACAAAGCAATTCAGTAATTGACATTATTATTATATGAAGCCTCTCTAGAACAGAGTTTTTTTCTTTTTTATGTTACCAATAGATAAGAGACAAGTAAAAGTGAATGAAATAAAGGAGACGGTTAAAGGAAGATATTAGCAACTTTTGAGAACAAGATGGGCTAGAGAAAGTACATGTTATAAGGAGGAAGTCAAAGAATTATGGGGTAGATTTAAAATGTATTGCTAGTGCACAGCAGAAGTTTTGTGTAGCAGAGGGTGGGTGTAGGTGGGAAGAGGAATTATTGGTGGAATAATGAGGTTTAAAAAAAGCTGTACAGTGTATAAATAATATACAGAAGGTAGAATATATGGAGAGAAAATGAGTAGTAAGGGAGTGTACAAGGGGAGCCAGTGAGAGAATGGGAAAGCATGAGAAGCAAATGGACTTGTCAGTTAAAATCAAAGAGGGGGGAATGTTTAGTAGCAAGGTGGAGGAACTGGAAAGACGGAGAGTATATTTTGAGGAATTGTTAAATGATGATGATATAAGAGAGGCAGTGATTTCATGCACTGAGCAGGGAGGTATAACATCTGATAGATGTTATTATGTGCTGTTGGCATGTGACTACAGTAATATTATGAAGGGATTTAGGGAAAACTGGTTAGCTGGATTTAAGTCCTGGAGGTGGGAAGTACAGAGCCTGTACTATGAAGGAGAGGTGGGGATGTTGCAATTTAGAGGGTCATTTGAATTGTGATGTCTGTGCACACATGGCAGAGCAGATGTTGAATGAATGATAATGAATATTTTTTTTTCACTTGTTTTGGTGCTTCTGTGCAAAAGAAAAAAAAAAAAAAAGGAAAAAAGAGCAAAAGATGGATGTGGGGAAAGTGAGGTAGCGAGTAGAATGAAAGGGGGTAAATTGACTCGGACAGATGGCAATAAGACTAAGATGTTTAAAGCAGGTGGCGGATATAATCTGGGAGTGAGTAGTACAGTGATCCTTCGTTTATCGTATTTAATTCATTCCTGGAGGTGCTGCTATTGTCGAAATCTACGATTTTTTAATTAATTTTCCCCATAAGAAATAATGAAAATACAATTAATCTGTTCCTGACACCCAGAGGTATTAAAACCAAAAAAATTTTTACATGAAATATAGATGTAGTACATAAACAATACAGTGGGACATGATGAATGAAACATTAACAGCATAACACTTACCTTTATTGGCAATTCTTCTTAGTGTATGGAAGACTGGAGGAGGAGAGAGATTGGATTATTTACAGTTTGGGAGGGGAATCCCCTTCCATCAACACCTCAGGTACCAATTGCTTTTCTGGGGTTACTTCTCTTCTCTGTTTCTTAATGCCACTAGGACCAGCTTGAGAGTCACTGGAGTCCTGTCTCGCAAAATAACTGTCCAAAGAGCTCTGTTTCTGGCGTCTCTTTAACACTTCCCTAAAATGGGCCAAGACTTTGTCACTGTACATGTTGCCAACATGGCTTGCAACAGCCTTGTCAGGGTGATGTTTCTCCATAAATCTTTCCATCTTACCCCACATTTCAAAAATCTCCTTAATTTCTGAAGAAGGCACCTTCTTCCATCTCTCTCCCTCCTCCTCTGCAGCAAGATTCTGAGCTGCGATCTGTTGCTCTTCCTGCTGAAGCTCTTGCAGCTCCTCAGTGGTGAGCTCTTCGTTGTGGTCTTCCACCAACTATTCCACATCCTCCAAATTCACATCCAACCCCATGGAACTCTCCAGTGCCACAAAAGATTTAACAACAGACATAGGCTCATCAGGGTCAGCCCCAAACCCTTCAAAATCCCTCTTGTCGACACAATCTGGCCACAATTTTCTCCAAGCAGAGTTCAAAGTCCTGGTAGTCGCTCCCTCCCAAGCCGTACCTATAAGGGTTATGCAATGGAGGATGCTGAAGTGTTCTCTCCAAAAATCTCTTAGGGTAAAGTGAGCGTCTGAGGTCACATTCAAGCACCTTTGAAACATTGCTTTGGTGTAGAGTTTTTTAAAGTTTGCAATGACCTGCTGGTCCATGGGCTGGAGGAGAGGAGTGGTATTCGGGGCAAGAACTTTACTGTGATGAACCCAAACTCCTCGAAAATTAGGTCATCCAAGTTTGGAGGATGAGCAGGTGCATTATCCATTACTAGGAGGCACTTGAGATCCAATTTCTTTTCCAGGAGGTAATTCTTCACACTAAGGCCAAACACTTCATTGAACCACTCGACGAAAATTTCTCTCGTGACCCATGCCTTACTATTAGATTTCCAAAACACACACAATTTACTCTTCATAACATTGTTTTTCCTGAACTCTCTGGGATTTTCAGAATGGTACACTAGTAATGGCTTCACTTTGAAATCCCCACTAGCATTAGCGCAGAACATTAGCATCAGCCTGTCTTTCACAGGCTTGTGTCCTGGCAGTGCCTTTTCCTCCTGTGTAACGTAGGTCCTCTTTGGCATTTTCTTCCAAAAGAGGCCTGTTTTGTCACAGTTGAACACTTGTTCAGGTTTCAGTCCTTCAGCCTCTATGTACTCCTTGAATTCATGCACATATTTTTCAGCCGCTTTGTGCTCCGAACTGGCAGCCTCACCATGCCTTACCACACTGTGTATGCCACTACGGTTCTTAAATTTCTCAAACCAACCTTTGCTGGCCTTAAATTCACTCACCTCACCAGTAGTTGCAGGCAATTTCTTTACCAGATCGTTGTGCAACTGCCTAGCCTTTTCGCAAATAGTCGACGTCATAATACTATCTCCTGCTAATTGTTTCTCGTTTATCCACACCAATGATAACTTCTCAACCTCTTCAAGTACTGGTGATCTCATTTTTGTCAGCATATTTACCCCCTTTGCAACAACAGCATCCTTGATTTCCTTTTTCTTGGCCACTATGGAACATATGGTTGTACAGTGGACCCCCGACATTCGGTGGCATCGACATTCGATAAATCCGACATTTAATGCATTTTAACGCAAAAATTTCGCCTCGACATTCGATGGAAAACCCGACATTCGATACGATTCGTACGAGACATGTCCACGTTTGGCCTGAACTGCCCCGTGTGTGCCAGTGTTTACAAGCCAACCAGTGTGCGCGCATCTAAGGATACATTCGGTACATTCCATATTATCCATATTATCACTGTTTTTTGGTGCTTGTTTCTGCAAAATAAGTCACATGGGCCCCAAGAAAGCTTCTAGTGCCAACCCTGTGGTAAAAAGGGTGAGAATTAGTATGGAAATTAAAAAGGATTTTGAAGGGTATGGGGCTATCCCTGAGAAGCCTATGCCAGTTGTGGACTCCATTGTGCCTACTTCAAAAATTAAGGAAATGTGTGCAAAGTGGGTTGAACTGCAAACCTTTATGGATGAAAAATCACCCTAATACAGCTATTGCAAGCCGTGCTGGTGACTATTACAGTGACAATGTTATAGCCCATTTTAGACAAATCTTAAAGGAATGGCAACACAGGTCTAGTGACTCTCAAGCTGGTCCTAGTGGCATTAAAAGAAGAATGGAAGTAACCCCGGAAAAGGACTTGCTACCTCAAGTCCTAATGGAAGGGGATTCCCCTTCTAAACAGTAACAACTTCGACTCTCCCCTCCTCCCATCCCATCAATCATCACCAGATCTTCATTAAAGGTAAGTGTCAATTATTCTATTGTTATTATTCTATTGTTATTGTAATTATTCTATTGCATTACACTTAATATTTCATGTGGTAAAATTTTTTTTTCCATACTTTTGGGTGTCTTGCACGGATTGATTTGATTTCCATTATCTCTTATGGGGAAAATTAATTCGACTTTCGATATTTTCGACATTTGATAGCTCTCAGGAACGGATTAGTATCGAATGTCGAGGGTCCACTGTATAGGGTTTTTTATACATCCTGGCCAGTTCAGCCACACTTAAGCCACTTTCATATTGTTCAATGATGTTTTTCTTAAATTCAGTCATATTTCTCACCTTCTTTACCAAAGGCTTGGCACTAGGAGCTTTCTTTGGAGCCATGGTAGCTTATTTAGTACTTGCAAGCACTAAAATAAATGGAATATTATGAAATATTTCGTAAGAGCAAGTGAGGGGGGCCGTCGCTCACTGGTAAACAATGCCACACTGGCTGGGAAGGGAGGCCGCCCCGGCTCACAGCGTGCGTACGCATCCCGGACAAACTACTATTCGTGAGTCAATCTACGATTAGCGAGCCCATGTTTATACGAAAATATCGGCTCTCGAGCCCTACGATTATCGAGGGACCACTGTACATTTGTTTGTTATAAGGGGACAAGAGAGAGAGTTTAAGAATTATATGGGAATAAGCCTATTCAGTATACTGGGTAAAGTGTATGGCAGAATTATTATTGAAAGAGTTAGGAGAATGGCAGAAAGTAGGACTATAGAGGAACAATAAAGACATAGTTAAGTGTTTACATTAAAATATATGAGTGAACAAATGAAGGTAAGGAACTGTTTGTCATATTTATGAATTTAGAAAAGGCACATGATGAGGTGAATAGGGAGCAATGTGGCAGGTATGGAACAGGCAATAGGGCAGTAAAAACAGTAATTTTTATGTGGAGAGTAAAATTCAGGTTAGGAATATGTAGGAGAGAGGGGGGACTATTTTCCAGTAAAAGTTGACCTGAGACAGGGATGTGTGAAGGCACCATGGTTGTTTATAGATGGGGTTGTATAGGAAGGGGATGCAGGGTGTATGGAAGAGGTGTGGGATTAAAAGATAATGAATCTCACATAAAGTGGGAATTGTCACATTGGTCTTTGTTGTATAATAGTGGCTTGAAAGTCATCAAGAAACTGACATCTGTATAGTACTATAATACAGAATATTTATTGTCCTAATTACTGATTTTAAAGAATAAAAGAATAGTAAAGAAGCTAAGAATAAACATTAAATGCATATCAATCCTCTCTAACAGAAATCCACACTGCAAATAGCTTTTGAATCTCTTGTATTAATTTTTTTTAATCCAAGGGAATCACTAAATCCACAGCAGTCATATATCACATAGGAAACAGGGTAATCAGCTTTAATCCACAGAAGGGATAAGTTCAGTTCTTGGATCAATAGCTCCAATGGCATCCTATTTTTTGAGGGGTGAAAAGTAGGAAAGGCAAAATTATCATTTGACTTACTAAAGGCCTGCATGAGTAGCTCATTTATCACTGAACCAGACAGTCATGAATCTGAACCTTACAGGTCTATAAAGTCTTGATCCTATCTATGGACATTTTTTTTTCTTGCCAAGTGCCTGTTCAATAATCAGCAGGACTGGGAACTTCAGTTACTAGGGACCTAGGAAATCATTACATGATGTTGCATAATGTCCTCCCATGTCTGAGAGTTGTAAGTGGAAGGTTAAAAAAAAAGATGTTATAGGAAAACCAGAAAGAACGTTCTCTCTCTCTTGCTCAAATCAGACATTAGCATCTCTCCTTGTTAAAAACAAGGTGATCCAATGTAAAGTTCCCCTTCCCTTGGAGATCACAACTATAGTATTAAATATGTAATCTTTTTCTGGGAAGGAATTGTCTCCCTAGCTTGTGTGCATAGGGCAGGTCACATCATTATGATGCCATCTATGTGCTCAGCAGAAGCAAAAGCAAAAGACTGGGCAAGCAGTGCAACATAACTCCAATGAAAAATAGGGGCACCATTAGTACACTAAGAGAAAACACAGTAAGTGTCCAGGGCTCAAGATTGTTCAACAGCCTCTCACCAGGCATAAGGGGAATTACTAATAGACTCCTGGCTGCCTTTAAGAGGTACTTGGACAGATACCTAAAGTCAGTCCTGGATCAGCCAGGCTGTGGTTCGTACATTGGACTATGTGCGGCCAGCAGTAACAGCCAGGTTGATCAGGCCCTGATCCACCGGGAGGCCTGGTCATGGACTGGGCCGCAGGGGCCCAGATAGACTCCAGGTAAACAGAGTAAATGGCTATCCCTTCCTTTTCTAGTCTGGCAGAACATGTATTTGCATAGGCCCTCCCTAAAAATATATACATATATATATATATATGTACAGGCCCCCCTGTAACTTATAAAAACCTATTACAAGCTGTAACTTATAAAAAAAACCTATTACAAGAGGGCTTCGCTTTACAGCGCTTTTCTAATAGAGCGGTTTTCAGTTATGCCCATTCTTCGTTTATTCAGGCTACCTACAATATATATATTCACCACTCAATATAAGCTAAGTACGAAAATATTTTAAGGTAAGTAATGTGTGTACTGTATATGCATTTTTTAGGCCTAGCTCTACTGCTCACTTAATATATGATAGTGTAAGCAGGTTATCAGGCTTTTATATGCATTTGAAAGTGAAAAAAGGGCTATTTTTCACTTTACAGTGATTTTTGCTTTATAGTGGTAGCCCAGAATCTAACCTGCTGTATAAGTGGGGCCCTCCTGTACCTGTCTAAATGTTGTCCATAATGAGCAAATAAGAGAGATACCAGCTGTGTTCCCTATTCATAGCAACCAGAAACCCCCAAGAGAGAAAACAGGAGATTTCGGAGACATATTGAACTTAATGTTAGAAAGGTTCAACAGTGGGGAAGGAAAATGATACACTAGGGAATGGGTTGTATTCCTAGTAGCTTATCAGAACCTAACATAATTTATATTTAATTTGTGTATACAGTAGCATTTTTTTTTCCCCAACATTTTGAATATGTATATATTAACAATAATAATATGCCATTTCTGTGTAACTAGGAAAGAATTTCCATCATACAATTTTGTGAATGGAAAGTGTTAACATTATTTTCTAATGTATATAAGAAGAAATTAGTTCCTGTAGTGTTTCACAGGTTTGCAATAATACTAACAGCTGTATGCAATTTCATTTGTGATTATTCATCTTTAGTCTGCATTCAGAGCCTCAATGAAATTTCAATTTTATTGCTTTTTTTTACTAATTATTTGTTGTAATATTTATCATTTTAAATTAATTTTAACTTCTTTGCAAGACCAATTTTCTCCTAACATTGTGAACAGTGCTGTATATTAGTTTAATATTTATGAGTCACACTCTGAGCTTAACAGTCTTATATAATTCCTTATATTACCAGATTATTTATCTTTCAAAATATTTTAGCATTTCCATCATAAAGTGAGATAAACAGACATTACTTCATCTTGCCCAAGAGTTAGAAAGAACATGGTATGACTAATGTGTATGTGTCTGTGTATATGATGACAATACAGGATCTTCTGGTGGAGAGTGTCACACATGAAGCTCACGTGGGCCACCTTGTGGAAATGGTCCGAAAAGTAGGAGACTCTATCACTTGTACTCACCTTGAGACGCGAGTGACAACACACCACCAACGAACAACGAGATTGCGCCAGGAGGTCAGTCGCTTGTTAGAGCGCCTTGAAGAACTGCATGTCCATTGGTCCACGTATCAAACTCAGATGGACAAGCTACAGGAATGGTGTTCACAGGCCAAGACCTCACTAGAAAACATTGATCTGACACCACAGGACCAAGAAAAGCTAAAGGAGCAATTCAATCAAATTTGGGTATGTTGTAAATTTTACAGAATTTATATATTTTTAGTTTGTTCCTTCTGTAGGGTGACTATTTTCATTCCTTTTCTGGCTATCTCTCTCTCTCTCTCTCTCTCTCTCTCTCTCTCTCTCTCTCTCTCTCTCTCTCTCTCTCTCTCTCTCTCTCTCTCTCTCTCTCTCACTCTCACTCTCACTCTCACTCTCACTCTCACTCTCACTCTCACTCTCTCTCACTCTCTCTCACTCTCTCTCACTCTCTCTCACTCTCTCTCACTCTCTCTCACTCTCTCTCTCTCACTCTCTCTCTCACTCTCACTCTCTCTCTCTCTCTCTCTCTCTCCTCTCTCTCTCTCTCTCTCTCTCTCTCTCTCTCTCTCTCTCTCTCTCTCTCTCTCTCACACACACAGAGGCAGGGCCAGGAGCTAGCACTCGACCCCTGCAACCTCAACTAGGTGAGTACACACACACACACACACACACACACACATTTTCTTGGACTGCAAGAAGGCGTTTGACACAGTACCACACAAGAGATTAGTGCAAAAACTGGAGGACCAAGCAGGGATAACAGGGAAGGCACTGCAATGGATCAGGGAATACTTGTCAGGAAGACAGCAGCGAGTAATGGTACGTGGCGAGGTGTCAGAGTGGGCACCTGTGACCAGCGGGGTCCCACAGGGGTCAGTCCTAGGACCAGTGCTGTTTCTGGTATTTGTGAACGACATGACGGAAGGAATAAACTCCGAGGTGTCCCTGTTTGCAGATGACGTGAAGTGATGAGAAGAATTCATTCGATCGAAAACCAGGCAGAACTACAAAGGGATCTGGACAGGTTGCAGACCTGGTCCAGCAATTGGCTCCTGGAGTTCAATCCCACCAAGTGCAAAGTCATGAAGATTGGGGAAGGGCAAAGAAGACGCAGACGGAGTACAGTCTAGGGGGCCAGAGACTACAGACATCACTCAAGGAAAAAGATCTGGTGGGGTGAGTATAACACCAGGCACATCTCCTGAAGCGCACATCAACCAAATAACTGCTGCAGCATATGGGCGCCTGGCAAACCTCAGAACAGCATTCCGACATCTTAATAAGGAATCGTTCAGGACACTGTACACCCTGTACGTTAGGCCCATATTGGAGTATGCGGCACCAGTTTGGAACCCACACCTAGCCAAGCATGTAAAGAAACTAGAGAAAGTGCAAAGGTTTGCACAAGACAAGTCCCAGAGTTAAGAGGTATGTCCTATGAGGAGAGGTTAAGGGAAATCAAACCCGACGACACTGGAGGACAGGAGAGATAGGGGGACGTGATAAACGACTTACAAAAATACTGAGAGGAATTGACAAGGTGGACAAAGGGCAGGATGTTCCAGAGACTGGACACAGCAACCCGGGACACAGTTGGAAGCTGAAGACACAGATGAATCACAGGGATGTTAGGAAGTATTTCTTCAGCCACAGAGTAGTCAGGAAGTGGAATAGTTTGGGAAGCAATGTAATGGAGGCAGGATCCATACATAGCTTTAAGCAGAGGTACGATAAAGCTCATGGTTCAGGGAGAGTGACCTAGTAGCGACCAGTGAAGAGGCGGGGCCAGGAGCTTGGACTCGACCCCTGCAACCTCAACTAGGTGAGTACAACTAGGTCAGTACACACACACACACACACACACACACGCACACACACACACACACACACACCAGCAAGGCTGGACTTAGTATTCACCTTGAGTAGTGCAGATATCGAGGACATCACATATGAAAGACCCCTTGGGGCCAGTGACCATGTGGTTTTATGCTTCGAATACACAGTAGAGCTACAAGTGGAGGGAGAAGCAGGAAGGCCAGGACGAATGAAGCCAAACTACAAGAAAGGGGACTACATAGGAATGAGGAACTTCCTGAACGGGGTTCAGTGGGACAGAGAACTGGCAGGGAAGCCAGTTAATGAGATGATGGAATATGTAGCAACAAAATGCAAGGAGGCTGAGGAGAGGTTTGTACCCAAGGGTAACAGGAATAATGAAAAAGCCAGGATGAGCCCATGGTTTACCCAAAGGTGCAGGGAGGCAAAAACCAAGTGTGCTAGGGAATGGAAGAAATATAGAAGGCAAAGGACCCAGGAGAATAAGGAGAGCAGTCGTAGAGCCAGAAACGAATATGCACAGATAAGAAGGGAGGCCCAAAGCCAATATGAAAACGACATAGCAGCGAAAGCCAAATCTGACCCGAAACTGTTGTACAGCCACATCAGGAGGAAAAGAACAGTCAAGGACCAGGTAATCAGGCTAAGGAAGGAAGGAGGAGAGACAACAAGAAATGACGTGAAGTATGTGAGATAGGGGGGACGTGATAGTGACTTACAAAATACTGAGAGGAATTGACAAGGTGGACAAAGACAGGATGTTCCAGAGACTGGACACAGCAACCCGGGGTAACCAGGTAACTCAACAAGAGATTCAAAGAAGTGTTCACAGAGGAGACAGAAGGGGCTCCAGAAAGACGGAGAGGTGGGGCACACCACCATGTGCTGGACACAGTGCACACAACCGAGGAAGAAGTGAAGAGACTTCTGAGTGAGCTAGATACCTCATAGGCAATGGGGCCAGATAACATCTCCCCATGGGTATTGAGAGAGGGAGCAGAGGCGCTATGTGTACCCCTAACAACAATATTCAATACATCTATCGAAACAGGGAGATTGCCTGAGGCATGGAAGACAGCAAATGTAGTCCCAATCTTTAAAAAAGGAGACAGACATGAAGCATTAAACTACAGACCAGTGTCACTGACATGTATAGTATGCAAAATCATGGAGAAGATTATCAGGAGAGAGTGGTGGAACACCTAGAAAGCAATGATCTCATCAACAGCAGCCAACATGGTTTCAGGGACGGGAAATCCTGTGTCACAAACCTACTGGAGTTCTATGACATGGTGACAGCAGTAAAACAAGAGAGAGAGGGTGGGTGGATTGCATTTTCTTGGACTGCAAGAAGGCGTTTGACACAGTTCCACACAAGAGATTGGTGCAAAAACTGGAGGACCAAGCAGGGATAACAGGGAAGGCACTACAATGGATCAGGGAATACTTGTCAGGAAGACAGCAGCGAGTCATGGTATGTGGCGAGGTGTCAGAGTGGGCACCTGTGACCAGCGGGGTCCCACAGGGGTCAGTCCTAGGACCAGTGCTGTTTCTGGTATTTGTGAACGACATGATGGAAGGAATAGACTCTGAGGTGTCCCTGTTTGCAGATGACGTGAAGTTGATGAGAAGAATTCACTCGATCGAAGACCAGGCAGAACAACAAAGGGATCTGGACAGGCTGCAGACCTGGTCCAGCAATTGGCTCCTGGAGTTCAATCCCACCAGTGCAAAGTCATGAAGATTGGGAAGGGCAAAGAAGACCGCAGACGGAGTACAGTCTAGGGGGCCAGAGACTACAAACCTCACTCAAGGAAAAAGATCTTGGGGTGAGTATAACACCAGGCACATGTCCTGAAGCGCACATCAACCAAATAACTGCTGCAGCATATGGGCGCCTAGCAAACCTCAGAACAGCATTCCGACATCTTATAAGGAATCATTCAGGACCCTGTACACCGTGTACGTTAGGCCCATATTGGAGTATGCGGCACCAGTTTGGAACCCACACCTAGCCAAGCACGTAAAGAAACTAGAGAAAGTGCAAAGGTTTGCAACAAGACTAGTTCCCAGAGCTAAGAGGTATGTCCTACGAGGAGAGGTTAAGGGAAATCAACCTGACGACACTGGAGGACAGGAGAGATAGGGGGGACATGATAACGACATACAAAATACTGAGAGGAATTGACAAGGTGGACAAAGACAGGATGTTCCAGAGATTGGACACAGTAACAAGGGGACACAGTTGGAAGCTGAAGACACAGATGAATCACAGGGATGTTAGGAAGTATTTCTTCAGCCACAGAGTAGTCAGTAAGTGGAATTGTTTGGGAAGCGATGTAGTGGAGGCAGGATCCATACATAGCTTTAAGCAGAGGTATGATAAAGCTCACGGCTCAGGGAGAGTGACTTAGTAGCGATCAGTGAAGAGGCGGGGCCAGGAGCTCGGACTCGACCCCTGCAACCTCAACTAGGTGAGTACAACTAGGTGAGTACACACACACACCTAGTAGCGACCAGTGAAGAGGCGGGGCCAGGAGCTTGGACTCGATCCCTGCAACCTCAACTAGGTGAGTACACGGTGAAGAGGCAGGGCCAGGAGCTAGGACTTGACCCCTGCAACCTCAACTAGGTGAGTACACACACACACACACACAACTAGGTGAGTAACTAGGTGAGTACACACAGAGAGAGAGAGAGAGAGAGAGAGGAAGAGAGAGAGAGAGGGGAAGAGAGAGAGAGAGGGGAAGAGAGAGAGAGAGGAAGAGAGAGAGAGAGGAAGAGAGAGAGAGAGGAAGAGAGAGAGAGAGGAAGAGAGAGAGAGAGGAGAGAGAGAGGAAGAGAGAGAGAGAGAGGAGAGAGAGAGAAGAGGAAGAGAGAGAGAGAGGAAGAGAGAGAAAAGAGGAAGAGAGAGAGAGAGAGAGGAAGAGAGAGAGAGAGAGAGGGAAGAGAGAGAGAGAGAAGAGAGAGAGAGAGAGGAAGAGAGAGAGAGAGAGGAAGAGAGAGAGAGGAAGAGAGAGAGAGAGAGAGAGAGAGAGAGAGAGGAAATGCTGAGAGGAATAGACAAAGTGAACAGGGCCAGAATGTTTTGCAGATGGGACACAGGAACAAGAGGATGCAACTGAAAGTTACAAATACACACAAAAAACAGGCCAAGTGTCTTAGTGACAAGTGCCTTGGACAAAATGGTAACTAATTAGCATACATACACATACACACACTAACACACTCACATTCACACTTTTCTCATGCAAGCCAGAAAAATGACAAAGCAGAAAATCATTCAAAAAAAGGGAAGCAGGGGCATGAAGGAGGTGGATGGCATTCCCTGGAAACAATGATGGATTAACTTAAGACCTGATTGAGGAACAAGTTTGAAGGGAAGTTCAATTTTGTTCAGAAACTGGTATGCAACAAAGGAGTGACTGTCAGGGAAGAGACATCAGAATGACAGAGTAACTTGTGGGGTTCCGCAAGAATTGATATTAGGGCTAGTACTATTTCTGATTTATGTGAATGATAGCCCAGATGAGATTCATTCAGATATATCTGTGTTTGTTGATGATGTAAAACTGATGAGAAGAATAAAAGTGGATGAAGACAGGGAAAGACTCCAAATAGATTTGTCAGGCAAGTGGTTTCTTGAACTCAGCCTCAGTAAATGCAAGGTATTAAGAGTGGGGAAGGAGCAAGAAGACTGGAAATGGGATATAGGCTCTGGGGTCAGAGGCTGCAGATCCCACTCACCTATGGGTCAACAAGTAAAGTTTATTTAGGCACAGGTACACCTAAGTACAATTATTATACATATCGTAAATTACCTAGGATAACAAAAAAAAAAAAGGTTAGCATAATACAGTAATCCCTCGCTGAACGACCGAGATAAGACTGTAATAAGTGTTCGTCAAGCAAAAATTACATTAAGCGAATCTAATTTTCCCCATGAGATCCCATGTTATAACTCAGGATGCTAATTGAGACAATAATTTTTCTTATGTAATTCAATTCTTTTTGTATTAAGTGAATCCAGTTTTCCCATAAAAAGGCCTATCAGAGATGGGTCCATTGTTTAGCAGAAGAATAGTGTTATATGTACATCTGTTTTATGAGTGCATAACACAAAAACAAAAAGTAAATATCAAAATATCTATAGAAGCATTACATCTGCTTTGCTATTGCCGAGTTGTAGGGTTATAACAGTTCTTTGGCCACCTGTTGTTGGGTTGAAGGGTTGTGCATCAGGTAAAAGAGCCTCAGTGGTCCTTTTAGCCTTTGTTCACATCCAGCCTATGGCAGGGTTTTGGAAGTAAAAAAAAAAACTCTTGGAACTCATCAGAGTTAAAGGTATTATCCTCCTCCTCCTCCTCTTCCTTTATCCACCTCCCTCCTCTCTCCTCCATCCTTCAGTTAATGAGCATCAATGCTGTAGCAGAAATACCACCAGCAGTGTTGAGGTTAATGCTACAAGCTAAGTCAAAGATTAAATAGTGGACTGTAGGGAAACTTAACTTGAAAGACAGCTTTTGCCTACACAGCCGTCCCTGCAGGCGATGTCTTGAGAAGATGTCATATGCACTACCTCACAGGCTGGAAAATAATTTATTAGTGAGTATAATTACCCCTAGGGGGTGTTATGTCAGCATATCTCAGACACTGATTGCTGACTAGAATACTCACGTGTGTGGACTCAAAAGTCCGTGTTTCACAGGGTATTGGTACATTAATAAACATAAAAGGATATCCGCTGCGCAGCCGACCCACCCCTATCATGTACATGTATAGTAAACGCACCTGGGTACTTGTAGCTGACCCGTAGTTGCACCCGGTTATATGTTGTCTTGATTGAAGCAGACGTGTTCTTTGAAGAATGTCGCACACACTCCGTTAGGATCGCAACACTTGTTGTTACACTGTTCATCAAGATTTGTTCACCATAATGTCACTAAAGTAGCTTATCACATTTCTCTGTAAGTGTCTTGATATTTTCTTTGAGATCCTTTTATGCACAAAAACATACGGATCAGTGTTCTTCGTTGGTTATCCCGGCATCAGTGTATCCCCCCAGCAGGGCCAAAAGCAATCTAACCCCACAGCCTCCTATGCTGCTGCCAATGCCCCTAGCACATAAAGGAAAAGCTGACCTAGCACATTTCCCCTCCTTGCCAAATTTCCACCAGGAAGCAAAGCAGAATGCTTGATTCATGCTGTCTAAGCATAGACAACAATGTACACTATCTTTACCATGGTAATAAAGTGGGTGCAGGATTTCTTTAATTGTCCTGCTAAGGTAAGAGATTGATTGTATCTTATTTAAACTACACACTTGCAACATTGACTCTTGCAAAGAACCGCATGACCATGTAACATCTGCTGGTAATTACTTGATGTAGCAGTAAACAAGATGCTTGCCCCTTCTGAGAGGGCTGGGCCCCTCAGGGCTGAAAGGGGCTGAAGGGGGGCTGATACCCCCTCTCATAGAGAAAATTTCTCCACAAGCAGCAGCAGCACCATGTGCCATATGTGTTTATTTGTAAGTTTCACTCACATTGGCCAAATAACTATGCAACCAATGCACATTTGGTAAATCTAAGAGTAGCCTACAGGCATCTCAACAAAGTGTCATTCCGGTAGTGGCAGCTCATCAAAATAGAATGGGGGGACTGCATGATTGCAAGCCTCGTAGAACAGCATAATAAACGTTACTATTAAAATTAAACTAAATTTAATAATAATAAGCGTTCACATATATGTACTCGTATATGTGTGTGCAGCTCCTCACTGCCAGGTGTAGCGCCAATAATACCTATAATGTTGTACTGCATCAAACTTCTATTTTTAATAATTTTTTATCTCGTTTCAACAACAAAAAAATAAAAAATTCACTTGTAAATACATTGAAAACAACATACAACAGATTTTTCCTGTAATATATATGTCAGTTGCAAATTTTTTATCATAAGGCTGATAAGTCATACGTCTGGCAGTGAGTATCTGGGGGACCTGCAGCTCTGCAGCTCCTATAGACGAGCCGCCACTGCAAAGTAGAGAGCATGCAGAAGTATGCAGTTAGGCTATTTCAGAGCTAGGGGGCATGAGCCTTGAGGAAAGGCTAACCAAATTAAATATGAGGACATTGAAAGACTGAAGAACAACAGCATACAAAATTCTCAGGGAAATTGATAGGGTAGACATTGACAGGCTGTTTGAGAGGCAGGAAACAGTTACTCAGGAACACAGCTGGGGATTAAAGACACAGATAAGACATGGGGCTGTCAAGAAGTATTTCTTCAGTCTCAGCACAGTTGGGAAGTGAAATGATCATGATGAAGAACTGAAGACAAGCTCCATACATAGTTTTAAGACTTAATACAAAAAGGCCCATGAGGCAAGGAGGGAGTGAATCTGGAATGTGGCAGGTTGAGAGATGGGGCTAGGAACTGAGAGTTGACCCCTGCAACCATGTACAGGTAAGCACATATGCACACACTTTTATATACATATATTATTGCTCTTACACACATGTACTGTATGTTATATCCAGCAAATGATGATCATTTTTCCAAACATGTTCAAATATGTATAGTAGTGGAATTATTGATATTTCTGCCTTTCTGATAAATAAAATAGTAATGACAGTGTTTTGCCTCAGTTTTCCCTTGAGTCACTTCTTTAATGTGCCCATATATAAAGGACCCGTCATTAAATTTCGGATTCTGGCTGATCGTTTGTTAAATGGCCCCTTGTAAGTTATTACACTGAAGTGAATTTTGCTTTAAACATTCATTTTATCCCACAAAAATGTTCCCCCAAACCCTTGTTTTCTAGAAAGTTTGATTAATTATGTATAGTAGTTATAAAGAAGAAAGCTGTGCTCAGTATCATTGTTTAATTTTTAATTTAATTTGTTTTAAGCTTTCAGTGGTTGTAGCATTTATTGCTACTACCCCTTGAATCCCTGTCCAGTATTCTTCCACTACTTGCTGATAAGTTTTTATTTATTTTTCTCTTATTCTTTTATGATTTTTAGATGATTATCTTTTCTACATTGATTTCAACTCTGTATGTTGATTTCCTATTTATCTGTGAATATCTTTTTTCCAGAATCTCAAGGCTCAGTTTGATAGTCAAAGTGTACTACTAAATGAATGCATGAACCACTTTGACAAATCAGTGGGCTTAGTGAACATGACAGATGAAACCCACCAGAGACATTTCCTCTCACAGTTCAAGAGTGAGTGGGGTGAGCTTGAGGAACTTCTCCAACAGAAGGAAAAGGAATTGCACCGGATCCAGATCCAAGTAGTTCCTGTACCACAACTGTTGGCGGAGACTCAAGATACACTATCAAATATTGAAGTTGCCTTGCAGAATATAGATACTAATGTGACATCAATCCAACAACTCAGAGATATATCGGAAAATTACAAGGTGCTACGAATCAAAATTTTGAATAGCAAGGAGAACTTAGAACACTTAACACAAGTCTCAAGCATTGAGGAGGAACAAGATGATGAAGTACTGGATACCCTTGGTCAGTTGTCACTCACCTGTCAAGAGTTGATTTGTACCATCCAGCAGCGTATTGCATCTCTGGAATACACATTGGATCATGTTCAAAAGACTGTTAGCCGTGTAGAACGTATCTCTCTTACAGTAGATCATCTTGAAAATACATTGGAAAGGTGTCAGGCAGTAGATAAAGAAGGGGAACAAATTCTTAAAGCTGCACTTCATTCCTGTCAAACAATATATGATAGTTTGGCCCGTACTGAAGAAGATATCACTAAAGTAAAACAGTGCATGGAAACTCTGAGTCAAGATCCTCATCACCCTTGCCACCTAGCAGAATTAACATTACAAGTTTCAGCTCTTCAAGAACGACTTGAATTAGTAGCAGAGAGCATTAAGGAGACCCAAACCAATCTTAAGAATCGCCTTGATATGTGGCAGAAATTCATGTCTTCATCTGATGCAGTAGATGGCTTCCTGCAGGAGGTTGAATATCTTCTTGAAAGTGCCTTGGACTTACCTTCTGTCAACAGAGCTGCACTGAAAAAACATGTGGAAGAACTACAAAATCTCCAGGGATCTATGACCACTAATAAAAACCTCTTAGAAATACTTAAATCTCAGGCAGTTAAAGTGGAGAAAACTCACTGCATGGAGACACAACTAACACGCTGGAATAGTGTTTCAGAGAAACTAGAATCGGTAAGAGAGTGTCACTTATATTTTATTTAATACAAAACTTCATGGCATAATATTTCATAGATATTTTATTTTAATTTGTGATATCTTGCACATTATTACAGTGTTATATGATTATACACCTATATTTAAACAGTTGGACATCACCCACCAGGATTTGATGCTAAAAAAAATTTCCACTTTCCTCATCTCAGGTTATCCTTCGGTACGAAACAGCTCTGGAATTGTGGAGCAGGTTTGTTACTGTCCAGGAAGAGGTGCGAGTCTGGGTCGAGTCGAAACTCACTCTAATTGTATCTCTTCAGTCCCGTGGCATCAGTAATGAGGAACGCTCTCAGATTCAGGTAAGTACAGTGCTTGTTTTCCTCTTTTATTGGTGATTAGGAAATTATCAACTCTGAGGCTGAACTCCCTCTCAGTAATGTGAAAAATTGATTTAGCTGCACAGAACTGTTGAAATCATCCCTTATACAAACCACTTTAGGCAATGGCAAAGAAATTCATTGAGCTGATAGTTAAAAAACAGCCTAGAGAGGCTAGAAAATTCTACACTTAATTAGTGATGTAGAATCAAGCCTGAACCGGCAAATTTTAGAGTAACTGAACTCAGAGCCACGCAAAGGTCTAGGAGTTCCTGGTGCAAGGATAATGAGTCATTCATCAACACCAAAATATTCTCTGCAAATAATTTGCTCAGTCTTAAGACTGAATATTGATAATTGGAAGGAGTACACACCCAATCTCTCCTGTTGTAAATATGTACATTTCAGTTAAAGCTGTTACTTATAGAACATGGTCTCTCGGTAGCCATTGTGGCCCTGAGTAATTCAGTCTTTTTTTTTCTGGTCTTCAGTATTTGGCAGTACTGTATTATGTGTATAACTGAGATACATAGATAATACTAGAACACTACTCTGTGGCCAGTGGTGTAACCAGGTTCTAAAATAGGAGGAGTGAGCACAAAAAGGTGCCACTTATTAATTTAAAAGGTTCCACTTATTGCCTTGCTCGTACAAAATACCCAAATAAAAAGCAGGAGTGCAATGAGTACACTTAAGAGATAATAATTTAAGACTTGAATTTTCTCCCTTCAGTTGTAGTACAGTTTCACACAAATTCCTGATAGCATTTTCGTCAGTGAATATTGCGTGTTCTGTTCATTCCCATGCCAGGTCAAAGTAATTATATACTGTCTGGAGAACATCATATTCTGTGTTCTATCATTACCAAATCTAGCAAGGCATCACATTGGCGGCAGCTATAGCTACAAGTTGGTGATTGATATGTCTTAGGGCAGTGGGCCTGTGTTTAAAACTGTTATTTTAGCCATTTATGGAGGCCCACTCCATAAAGGTGGCAGCAAAGCATTAGCTAAGAACTATAGACCAATAGCTCTGACGTCCCACATCATAAAAATCTTTGAAAGAGTGCTAAGAAGCAGTATTGCAAATCACCTGGATTCCCAAAATCTGCACAATCCAGGGCAACATGGGTTCAGGGCAGGTCGCTCCTACCTCTCACAACTACTGGATCACTATGATATGGCCTTGGATGCACTGGAAGAAAATCAGACTGCAGATGTAATATACACAGACTTTGCAAAAGCATTTGACAAATGCGACCATGGCGTAATAGCCCATAAAATACGTGCTAAAGGAATAACTGGAAAAGTGGGGAGATGGATCTTCAACTTCCTAACAAATCGAACACAAAGAGTAGTGGTCAACAGAGTTAAATCGGAGGCTGCCATAGTGAAGAGCTCTGTTCCACAAGGCACAGTACTCGCCCCCATCTTATTCCTTATCCTCATATCAGACATAGACAGAGATATACACCACAGCACCGTATCATCCTTTGCGGATACTAGGATCTGCATGAGGCTGTCATCTGCTGAGGACGCGGTTAACCTCCAAGAAGATATAAACAAAGTTTTCCAGTGGGCAACGGTAAACAATATGATGTTCAATGAGGAGAAATTCCAACTACTCCGTTATGGAAAACTGGAGGAGATAATAACTAGAACAGAGTATACTACAGACTCTTGCCATACAATAGAGTGGAAAAATAATGTAAGGGACCTGGGAGTAGTAATGTCTGAGGATATCACTTTCAAGGATCACAACAGTGCCACGATCGCACGTGCAAAGAAAATGATAGGATGGATAATGAGAACGTTCAAAACGAGAGATGCCAAGCCAATGATGATCCTTTTCAAATCACTTGTTCTCTCTCGGCTGGAATACTGCTGTACATTAACATCTCCATTCAAAGCAGGTGAAATCGCAGATCTAGAGAGTGTACAGAGATCCTTTACTGCACGTATAAGTTCTGTCAAGCACCTTAACTACTGGGAACGCTTGGAAGCACTTGACTTGTACTCGTTGGAACGCAGGAGGGAGATATATATCATAATCTACACTTGGAAAATCTTGGAAGGAATGGTCCCAAATTTGCACACAGAAATCACTCCCTACGAAAGTAAAAGACTGGGCAGGCGATGCAAAATGCCCCCAATAAAAAGTAGGGGCGCCATTGGTACACTAAAGGAAAACACCGTAAGTGTCCGGGGCCCAAGACTGTTCAACAGCCTCCCATCAAGCATTAGGGGAATTGCCAATAAGCCCCTGGCTGCCTTCAAGAGAGAGCTGGACAGATACCTAAAGTCAGTGCCGGATCAGCCGGGCTGTGGCTCGTACGTTGGACTGCGTGCGGCCAGCAGTAACAGCCTAGTTGATCAGGCCCTGATCCATCGGGAGGCCTGGTCATGGACCGGGCCGCGGGGGCATTGATCCCCCGAATAACCTCCAGGTAACCTCCAGGCTTGGGATTTAAGGATGGGGCCAAGTAGTCGTTAATATAAACATACCCCCTTCCCCCAAAAGGAACAAAGCACACTTTTCTGTGGTATCTTGGCGTCGTTATTTAGACTGCTCCATTAACTATCCTAGAATACTGACCCTGAAGGTAAGTCATTAGGGAGGTGTGGAATGGAGTCACGAGATCTCTAGTGCTAGCAGTCTTCCCAGTAAGTGCAAAGTTAGTCCTGGTAGCAGGCACCAGTCAGTATCCTCTGCAACTAAACAACGTTTTATATATTAATGCATTGATTGTGCTACATGAGCTCAATCCGTATAAATAGGGCGTTCGTGCTTGCACTCGATAGAATACGTTAATTTTGGCACCATTTAAATAGCAAAAATGATGTGTTAGTTTATATTTTGTTACAGAACTTGGTTTAGATCAACCTATATTTATGTACAGCTTACTGCCAATAACGAAATAATATAAACGGGTGGCTTACGTCTGGCAACGCAAAACACACCAGCGTTGGTAGTCCCACGTAAATGGGGTTCAACATATAAGCTGCCGAGTGATCTTTTCTTGATCTATAATGTCAGTCACATAGGGTCAAGTGCTAATATTATTATCCTTCAGTATACTCGTCATACTTGGATGTGGTTGAATGATTTCAATTTAAGGGTATTTGATCCCCTCATTACCTACGAATTTCTGCCGGAGGTCATCGTCCTCACGGCCCGGTCCCAGACCAGGCCTCCTGGCTGCTGGCTTGATTGATCAGGTTAATGGTGCTTTCAACCCAACGTATGAGCCATGACCCGGCTGATCAGGAACTGTATTACAGGAATTTGTTGAGTTTCCTCATGAAGTCACCTAGAGGTTTGCTGGCAATTTCCCTGACGTGACGGAAGGTGATTACCAATAAATCCTAAACTTTCTTCAAGAGGGAACTGTACAGATTCCTCAGTGCAGTTCTTGATCATCCGGGTTGTGGTGCATACGTTGGACTGCGGCGGCGGGCACCAACAGCTTATTTAATCAGGCCAGCAACCAGGAGGCCTGGTCTGGGACTAGGCTGTGGTGACGATTACCTCAGGAAACGACTCCAGTTAAAGCCAAGTTACTTAAAGTTGTTAAGTCTAAATTAAGCCTAAATATCTTACCCATATCCATTACACCATAAAAATTTTCTTTCCTCCCCCTCTCAGCAATTCCCCTTGTTATCTCCGTTGCCTTTCAGTGCTATTTTATACTTACATATATATTTAAAGAATTTTTTTTGTATATATGTTATTTATTATTGGTAGACTATGTTAATGCTAAAAAAAAAAATAACCGACGTGTTACAAAGAAGGTATTGTTGTTAATGTGAGGATTGCGGGAGGCGATCCGGACGATGTGTTGGTTGTGCAAGTGAGGGGAGATCCTAGTTGTCAGTTCGTAATTTTGTTTATAACATTCGCATGAGTCTTCTGATAAGATTTGAATTAAGAATCTTTTAGTATATCGACTTCCAATTTTAAGTTGAATAATTTTAATACCCCATTATCTACCTTTTGTTTATAAAATTATGGAATCAGTATTCGGCGCCTTTCGTCATTAGCCGAAATAAGATGTGTGATTTAATTAATGAAAAGAAATTAGACATTAATATCTGGTTGGCTTTAGTCAGATAGTGTGTGGAGTGTAAACTGGTGAGAGAATATACAGAGCGGAAATAATTTCATTCAGTAAATGGTAGTCGGCACGGATGGCTCTGGGCACCAAGGGGCGTAGTTTTCGCCGCCAGTGACTGTTGAGGCGTGTGTAGTGAATAGGTTAAGTCCATTGCTGTCTGGCCGTTCATACCTTGCGCAGCATCCTATGTCATAATTCCACTGCTGTATTTTCGACCATAACCTGCAACGCATCCCATGCCTTGCTATGATAATTAATGACATGACGTGGCCTGGTAAATCAAGACCAGCCTCTACAGGGGATTTCATAACTTAAGAGTTACAAGCAGTATAAAACCCTTGCATGTAGATAAGGTACAGACAATTTGAATTTGTATGCAAAAGTGGCGTATTTTGAAAGGATACGTTATGCATTAGAATTTCTTGCCGAGGCACTGAGTTCCACCATTAAATTAAAGATTAGACGGGTGGTGTGGAGAGGCGACCGGTGTAGAGAGCAACAGTTGGCCAGGAAGCTTCATTATATTCCCTGGTGAGTGTGGGAGCCGGGAGGCTGATGTCATGATGTTTATACAGAGTGGCGGCGGCAGCCGTGTCAGTATCATGTGTTACTGTGACGTTTATGTCTGTGACGTTATAATGCTCATGCACATGTGATCTTGCTCTCAGATGCTCATGGTCAGTGTTACACTTTAAAAATGTGAGATAGGGTATGTTTAGTGTTTATGTAGGCCTTATACATTTGAACTTTTAAAATGACTTTATATAGCAAATTGAAGCTTGGATAACCTAGTCAAGTCAGTGTCACCTACTTTCATATATATATATATATATATATATATATATATATATATATTATATATATAATATATATAATAAATATATATATATATATATATATAATATATATAATATATATA